CAGTCATGCCCGTCTGTAACATTAATAGACAATGTTAGTTTAACAGGACAACGCAATTATGTGTGTCTGAAAAGTTATGTTAACTGTGAAGTCACAGATTGAAGCTGAAAAAACGTTTGGTTTCTCCCGTAACCCCTGATTCTCTGATCACATAGTGAGGTAGAAACAGGAGCATCCTGAGCCTAAACTACCAACTCTATTTGATCAGCAACGAAAATATGGTGCCAATTCACCAGAAGCCCAGAAAATAAACAGGGCTGTAGATAAATACATTTGTATGGACAGATCTTGTTTCTGGTTGTTATTTATTATGGGGGGATTTTTTCGTTGTTATCATTGATGTTACTGTTCTGATCTTTATTTAAAAAATGACATGCCTCTTAATTTTTTGCTGCTATATCAAAAATGGTATCGAGTATTGAATATTTTCCTGGGTATCGATATCGAGTTTGAAATTTTAGTATCTGACAACCCTAGTGTGTAGTGTAATAATTGAAGGTCAGGATTTGTAAAAAAATAAATAAATACAGTCAGGTCCATAATTATTTGGACAATGATACAGTTGTCTTCATTTTGGCTCTGTACACCACCACAATGGGTTTTAAATGAAACAATGAATACCTGCTTAAAGTGCAGACTCTCAGCTTTCATTTAAGGCTTTTTTCAAAAATGTAGTATGAACCGTGTAGGAATTACAACCATTTCTTCACACAGTCCCCCGACTTTAAGGGCTCATAAGTATTTGGACAAACTAACATAATCATTAATTAAACAGTCAGTTTTAATACTTGGTTGCAAATCCTTTACAGTCAATGACTGCCTGAAGTGTTGGACACATAGGCATCATCAGATGCTGGGTTTCTTCCCTGGTGATGCTCTGCCAGCCCTTTACTGCAGCCGTCTGCACTTCCTGCTTGTGTTTTGGGTGTTTTGCCCTCAGTTTTGGTTTCAGCAAGAGAAACGCATGCTCAGTTGGATTCAGGTCAGATGATATGACTTGGCCATTGCAGAACATTCCACTTCTTTGCCTTAAAAATGTCTTTGGTTGCTTTTGCAATATGCTTCAGGTCAATGTCCATCTGCACTGTGAAGCATCGTCCAATGAGTTTTGAAGCATTTAATTGAATCTGAGCAGGTAATGGTGCCCCAAACACTTCAGCTTTCATCCTGCTGCTCTTGTAAGCAAGACAAGACTTCACTAGAATAAATACAGAGGGTTTATCACAAGATGCAAACCATTGGTTAGCCTTAAAAATGGAAGGCCAGATTAGAGTTTGTCAAAAACCATCAAAAAAGCCTGTACAGTTGTGGAACAGCATACTATGGACAGATAAAACAAAGATCAACTACCAGAATGATGGGAAGACAAGAGAAGGAAGAAGGGAAGGAACTGCTCATGATCCAAAGAACACCACCTAATCAGTGAAGCATGGTGGAGGTACTGTTATGTCATGGCCATGTATGGCTGCCAGTGGAACTGGTTCTCTTATATTTATTGATGATGTGACTGCTGACAAGAGCAGCAGGATGAAAGCTGAAGTGTTTGGGGCTACATTATCTGCTCAGATTCAACCAAATGCTTCAAAACTCATTGGACGATGCTTCACAGTGCAGTTGGACAATGACCTGAAGCATACTGCAAAAGCAACCAAAGACATTTTTAAGGCAAAGAAGTGGAATGTTCTGCAATGGCCAAGTCATATCATCTGACCTGAATCCAACTGAGCATGCGTTTCTCTTGCTGAAGCCAAAACTGAGGGCAAAACACCCAAAACACAAGCAGGAAGTGCAGACGGCTGCAGTAAAGGGCTGGCAGAGCATCACCAGGGAAGAAACCCAGCATCTGATGATGCCTATGTGTCCAACACTTCAGGCAGTCATTGACTGTAAAGGATTTGCAACCAAGTATTAAAACTGACTGTTTAATTGATGATTATGTTAGTTTGTCCAAATACTTATGAGCCCTTAAAGTCGGGGGACTGTGTGAAGAAATGGTTGTTATTCCTACATGGTTCATACTACATTTTTGAAAAAAGCCTTAAATGAAAGCTGAGAGTCTGCACTTTAAGCAGGTATTCATTGTTTCATTTAAAACCCATTGTGGTGGTGTACAGAGCCAAAATGACGACAACTGTATCATTGTCCAAATAATTATGGACCTGACTGTAAATAAAATAAATTTTCATTGCAGCAGACAGTATCTCAACAGATTTGACCAAGCTTACCATTTACACTAGCCAACTATCTGGAACAGATAGTGGGTATAGATACCTGAAGAAACCTGACTACAGCACAGATATCATTCCCTCTGTATGTCTGGTTCCTCATGATACTCAGTCACTAGGTAACTGTATGCAGATAAAGGTAGTGGAGTAAAAATGCTGTGGTTTCAGGTGATCCACTGGAACTCTCCAAAGAAGCTCAGAGTGAAGAACAAACATGTGGAGTTCTTCAGGAACCTCTACCTGACCTTCCTGGAGTACGATGGAAACCTGCTGAGACGAGAGCTGTTCGGCTGCCCGAGTCAGGCCAGTCCAGAGAGCGTCCGGGTTAGACACACACACACACACACACACACACACAAAGTGCGGTCAGCAGATACATATTGACGTTTCCTCTATCTTATTATCACGTGTTTGAAATAGAGCCTGACTGACCAATATTGTTTTTTGAGAGTAATTATTATCTGCTAGCAATCTATTGGTCAGTAGTCAAAAACATAATCATAATCACTGAAACACTTTTGGATCTGCAAATCAAAATGTCATTATTGTGTCATTGGCAGGATAATAATGATGGTGATAGATTTTCCCTTGCACAGCACTGTGGTTGCCATGAAACACAGTTCTCTGTCAGGTTTTCCAAATCTAGCTTAAAATCCAAATGAATTTAATTGGTATAATTGGTCGTGATGTGTTTAGGGTGCCAAAACTGGACTGAGGAGGAGTAACTATTATACATTTTGTCTAGTCTGAAGCAACAGGACGTGATGATCAAAGGATTTTCTGTCTCAAAGGAAAGCTCTTCTTGGAAAGGAACCAAAATGTCTTGTTGCTTTGGATGTTTGTGCACTAAGAGCTACTTTAAAAGACTTCCGCAGAGCTTTGAACAGTATTGTCTGTCTCCTCAGCTGCAGGCAGCTCTGGAGGAGCTGGACGAGGACGATCAGTGTTACGACTTCCGCCGGGAACGACTCACTGTTCACCGAGTGCACCTCTACTTCCTGCAGTACGAGTACACGCCCACCGAGGACGACACTGACATCACGCTGGTGGCCCAGCTCTCCATGGACAGGTACAAGACTATTTTAAGCAGCTATCTAGTTGTTGCATGTCGACAGTGAAATTAAAAATGACTTGGGTCAGACTCATGTTGCACTTTGTTCATAAACCAGGTAAAGATTAGCATTTCAATTTAAAAAAAAAATACCTGCAGGTCAATGCTGGAAGTGAGGACATAATTTTACAGCTTCAGGGTGTCAGACTGAGTTCTGCAGCACTCTGACTTTAAGAGCCACCAGCTTTACTGTCACATGACTTTAAATACGGTTTTAGATACCTCACAGTTAAAACATGACTAAGGTTAACAGTTCAAACCTGGAAACAGCAGTTAAGGTTTCAAGGACCTCCATTTTGATTTTATTAAAAAAAAAACATCTATTCACAAAATGGAAATCTTAACACCATGTCAAGTTATCTTTTCTGATGGATCGAATGTACAGTTACTGGAAACGAATTTCCCTCTGGGACGAATAAAGTTAGTCTAGTCTAGTCATCTACCTCAGTAACACCTGTGAATGTATCTGTACCACTTGTAGGCTGCAGATGCTGGAGGCCATCTGTAAACACTGGGAAGGCCCCATCAGCCTGGCGCTCTACATGTCCGATGCCGAGGCTCAGCAGTTCCTTCGCTACGCTCAGGCCTCTGAGGTCCTCAAGAACCGCAAGAACGTTGGCTACCACATCGTCTACAAAGAGGGCCAGTTCTACCCCGTAAACCTAGTGAGGAATGTGGCCTTGAAGAATGCTAACACGCCGTACGTGTTTCTGACTGATGTAGACTTCCTGCCGATGTACGGTCTCTACGATTACCTCAGGTAAGACCAGCCATGTGCTCCAGGTCACAAACTTAGCTGAAACGAGGTGCTAACTTGCAGCTGAAAGTACAGTAATGTTAGACTGTAATGTAAGGAGTTCAGCTTTTAATGATGATAATAATAATAATAATAATAATAATGAGTAAATTATTTAAAAATGTGTACTACATGTGTTGAGTAATATATACATCTGCTTAATTTGCCAAATGGAAAATGTTTGTCACAATAAAGCAGATACTACTTCTGTTCAAAATCATTTAAGCTTTATTTAGGAAAAATATGCCAGTTTTCCTATTTTTTATTTATATTATTATATTTTTTAAATGTTGTTTTTCCCTCTTGATAAAATACTTAAAAAATGAGTACATCCTGGTGATAAGAAACAAATATAACTGATCATTTTGACTCTGATTTTGTTTTATAGTATTCAACATGATACAAATATATTCCCTTCTGCCTGATTTATAGAAGTTTAAGGCATGAATACTGTGTTCTCACTTGTCCATAGTTCGAATGGTTCGGTTTTAGTTGTGTCCGTTGGTATGAACACTGTGCCTTTGTAAGCTGCGTCTCACCTGTGAATCATCTGTCCTGTTTCCTCCATGCAGAAGGTCTGTGGTGCAGCTGGACATGGCTCACACTAAGAAGGCACTGGTGGTTCCAGCTTTCGAAACACTTCGTTACCGTCTGTCCTTCCCCAAATCCAAAGCTGAACTGCTCTCCATGCTGGACATGGGGACTCTCTACACCTTCAGGTACCTGAACATAAATAAACATATCAGTAAATGGTAAATGGACCTGCATTTGTATAGTGCTTTTCTAGTCATCTGACCACTCAAAGCGCTTTTTACACTAAGAGTCACATTCACACACACTTTCATACACTGGTGGCCAAGGCTACCATACAAGGTGCCACCTGCTACTCAGTTTTTTTTTTAAGTCACTCACACACCGATGGAATTTTCATTGGGAGCAATTTGGGGTTCAGTATCTTGCTCAAGGATACTTCAGCATGCAGACTGGAGGAGCTGGGAATCAACCCGCTCTACCTCTGAGTCACAGCCGCTTGATGACTGAGGAAAAATAAATGGATTGAAAAACACTGTGCCAGCCAATGATGTCATCAGTTTGTCTCTTTAACTGTGTCCTTCTCTTCCTGCCTCTCCAGGTATCATGTGTGGCCTAAAGGTCACGCTCCTACCAACTATGCCAAATGGCGAACAGCCACCACACCGTATAAGGTGGAGTGGGAGCCAGACTTTGAGCCCTACGTTGTGGTGAGACGGGACTGTCCAGAGTATGACCAGCGCTTTGTAGGCTTTGGCTGGAACAAGGTGTCACATATCCTGGAGCTGGACGCACAGGTACGTCTAATAGCTGCATAGGGAGGGTGGGGCTCGATTTTGACAGTACAAATGTAAAAGATCAGCACCACATCAGGCGCTCAAAGTCGATGTGGGTATTTTATTGTGATTGTCTATGCTATGTGCCAAACTGTTGGGCAAAGCGGAATAAAAATCTGAGCGGTGTGGTGATTAATCATTATCTTCTCAACCAGTCATCATGTGTCTTAAAACGTGGCATGTACACAAATATCCCACGACATTAAAACCACTGACAAATGAAGTGAGTAACATTTATCAGCTTGATAAAATGCAGTGCTCTGCTGGAAAACCTTGAGTCCTGGCATTTATGTGGATGCCATTTGACACACACCACCCACCCAAACACTGCTGCAGATCAAGTACACCAGCTGAGGAATGTGACAAAGAGCCCAAGAATTCGACTTGGCCTCTAAATTCCACAGCTTCCAATCTGATCGACCAACTGTGAGACGTGCCCATACCCCACCGAGCAACCCACAGGACTTAAAGGATCTTTGCCCTGATCTAGGACACGGCAGTTCACCCCCAGAGGTCCTGTGTCCATGCCTCAACAGGTCAGAAGCCCAGAGGTGGATTTGACTTGGCTCTGACCTGTCGCTGCATTGACACATGACCTTTGGGGTATTGGAATGTCCTATGATAGCTCAATCAGATTGGGATCTGCAGAATTAGAAGGCCAGGTCAATGCCTTGAGCTTTTTGTCATGTTCCTCAGACCACTCCTGAGCAGTTTTTGTGGTGTGGCATGGCGCATCACTGTGATTCTCTTTGTCTGTCAGTGGATTTAATGTCATGGCTGATAAGCGTTTGTTTGGTTTTGTTATACAGAAACTTAAGTGTGAGCTGTATGGATGTGTTTACTGTGGGAATGTTTCCTACACTTTAGATAGTTTGTAATGTAATGTTATAAGTCTGATGTGCACTTCTTGGACTTATCTTTGTTCTGCCACTCAAATAGAAACTGTATTTTTTTTTTTTTTAATAGCTAATGGAAAAGTTTTGTACTTAGTTAACACAGCAGCCATAGACAGTAAGTGTTCTGATACATGTGGCTTTGAGGTCATTGGTGTTATACTGAAAATCGTATCATGCCGCCCCTAGCACACACTGGACACGTCGCGCTGCAGCTCATCAACAGACAAAGTTTTTACTACTTTTACTGAAAGATCTGTACTTCCTCCACATTTATGTTGGCTTAAAATCATGTGTGGACAGCCCCTATTTAAACTTGATTTCTCACATAAAAGCTGATCTCTAGAGCTATGACTCACCAGGCAATATCTTCTTGGCCATTGTCTTTATAATGGCGGGGTTGTGAATCATAGCTCAGGATATTTCTCAGCCTCAACTAGTCTCTCGTCATCCATTATTTGTCACACATGAAACAGCAACAGACTTCCCTTTGCATCAATTGCGGGAAAAGGGGTTGAGCTGCCACAGGAACAGAGAAAAAGAGCTGCTACAGAATTTGGTATGTACAAGCAGAGAGCAAGTGGGTGTAAAACGCATTTAATTCCAGGGGCGGTGAGGCTGGATAAAGGACAGTGGCATGAAGTATTGCGGGGCGGCACATCTAGGAGTACCGACGCACATCTAGCTGCCGCCGGTGTGGGGTTGTTGAAAATTATAGGGGCGTATTTTTTGATGGACAGCGTTTGTCGCCGGTGTGTTTTCGCCTTGAGAGAGAATGATAAGTTCTGTAGGAATTCTGTAGGAATTCAAGTTAAACAGCTGTGGGGGTTTGTTTAGAGGGGAACCTGAAGAAGCTGATGAGAAATGCAACAGTGTATAGCATTTTGTTTCAGTAACCTTTCAGTTGTGTGGGAGTGAGTAAACTCTTTATGAATGTTTGTGAAAGCTGAATCTTTGTTACTGAGATGAGAAAAGGCGTGAGCTAAATTGTTTTTCATTATTTCATGTTCTGTTGTCTCAATCAGTTTGTTTTGCTTTTCCTCAGGAGTACGACCTGATGGTCCTCCCCAATGCCTTCATGATCCACATGCCCCACGCTCCCAGCTTTGACATCTCCAAGTTTCGCTCCAGCTCCAGCTACCGCAACTGTCTCAACACCCTGAAGGACGAGTTTCACCAGGACCTGTCCAGAAAGTACGGCTCGGCCGCTCTCAAGTACCTCACCGCCCAGAGGAACATCTAAAGACCAGAACTGCTGAGCGCCAGCGACACCGGCAGCCTCTAAGCTGACGAGGCCCGAGAGCTTGGACATGTACTGACGCAGCACTGCACTGCGGGCTGCATCGCCGCACAGCGCAAACAATGACGGTAAAGCTTTATGGCCCTTTTGAACATTCTTGGGCTCCTGTGCATTAATTCTCCAGTCGACGCCACCTCGAGGTGACAAGAGGACAAGACGCAGAGACGACCAACTGGAGTAAGTGGCAGTAGATTACCTAGAGGCAGGATTGACTGGGCTGAGAGGGGCCATGAATGAGCATGGATGCTGACGGGACTAGCTTTAAGGCCGGGAATTAACAACCATATTCTTACAACTTGTTTTGACAATCAGGGCTTTTTCCAGAAGACACACTGTCAAACAGTCCGTCCACATGAATATCTGGACACGACGGGACCCGTGTCATTTTGGAGAAACATTTAAAAGAGAAGACTACATTTGGAACATGTCTGTGAGGCCAGTCGAACTGGGGAAAGATTTAAGCCTTATCACTTTCCATGGTATTTACTGAAATATTTAATATTTCTTTTCTTTTTTTTTCAGTGTAAATCAGAACCAATGAATAACAACCATTTACAATGTTTCTTATTACGACTATACATAAGAATCAGTTTATTTTTCCTTCCTATATTTTCTGACCTCTTTGAAAGAATCCATCTTGTCCCAGGCGAATAATTTCAGATTTTCTGTGAGCTTCAGGGATGTGCTTTTTATGTGTGTGTGAGTATGATCCAGCTGCATCATGTGGCTCGTCTTCAACAAGCTTACTGATTGTCGTCGATGTCATCCTCGCTTTTGTCTTGATCATATATTTGCTTGCATGTAAAGAGTTGCACTACATGATTTCACATAAGAACATGGTCATTTTGTCACGTTTTTTTTTTTTTCATCATTCATCCCTCTGAAAGAAGCAAAACTCCACTAATGATAAGAGATATATCATTACTGACAGGGACCAACTCACACGACCAACACTTCCACCTTACAGTGAGTTGTTATTAAGGAAGCTGTTAACTCTGAAATTAAACTGCTACACTCGAATGAAAAGCAGGAGCTTTTTTTTTTTGTGCCATTACATCTATAATGTGTCTGATTCACTGGATATACTCTATGTGCCATCTACTGTAGCACCTAACCTACAACTCTGTTTTTACCTTGTAAAGTCCAACTGAAATGACAAATTTGTGCTTTTCTGCAGTCAGGTCACATTTATTATTGAAAGAATAAGACTTAGAGGAATACGTCACTTCCAAATTATAATTTGTAAATCAGTGACTAACTCAGCGTTACTTTGAATTTGTGAAGTTTTGTGTTTGTTTTAACCACATGCCCCCTCGGTGAACGATGAATCAAAAAAAAAAGCATTCTTCATGAATTGATGTCATAGGGGTCCAACTGCAGAACTGTAACAAAACATGAGTTTAGAAACTTGCGCACAACCCGTGCAGTGTAATCCAAGTCTCATGTATCCAGTCATATGCTTAGTACTTCCCAAACCATAAATTAAATTGTTTATATCACTTTCCTATAAACAGCACAGGCACACTACTTGCCCGTGTATGAGACTGCTTTGTGGAAGTGTTTCACATATTACAGTTTAAGCAAAAATGCATGTGTTTTGGAAGTGCTGAATATATGACTGGATGTATGAGACTTGGATTCAGAGTTGACGTAAGACAGCATATGGTGGCTTTTGGTCGGTATCATGTGTAGTTGTCCAGCAGATGAAAATAACAATGGCCAAAATATCCTTTGGGAGATATACCAAATTAATTAATAGCATATTAAATAGCCAAACATTGTGTGACCTATATGATATGTTACCAAGAAAACTCAATTATAAACAGACCAGATTTTTGGATATTAATTACCAACATATCTTTTTGTCCAGGCCATACAGAGTGCGTCCCTGCCTCTTCAGTGCATACGCCACATCCACAGCGATCACGGTCCTTCTCTTAGAGTTCCTGGTATAGTTAGGTGACGGCTTCACGGATCACGTTCTTGAGGAAGACCTCCAACACACCAGGGGTCTCCTTGTAGAAAACAGACCAGAGATACGCTTCACACCACCATGGCGAACCAGACAATGAATAACAGGCTTGGTGGACATTGATGCATGCCGATTTTTCATAGGCTGCTGCCCACTTCCTTTCTGCGCCAGTGTTGACCAATGGGGCTTTTCACAATTTGCTTCTGGTATCAACGGCTAGGTGACTGCTCAACAACTGACGTATCGTGGCACTTCGACTTTCAGTGCAAACATAATGCTTGGCAAACTGAGTGCTTTTCCCTCTTCGCATCTGCCACTAAACCTGTGATTAGTCACTCTGTTCAATAGACGTCTTCTTCATTTAGCTTATTTTCAAGTTATTAATTTTGACTCCTTTTATTGCTGTTTAAGTGTAGGTTATTTTAAACATATGTCTGATAGTTGTTCTTTATGGCCAGAATTCTGGAATTTTAACAGCCATAGCGTAAACCCTGTTTGGATTATACTGCACAAGTTGTCAGTGTTTGGAAATGGATATTCTGATATAGTTTTGTATAAGATGTGGGCCCTTTTACTCCAATTCATCAGGAATTTTCTGGTTTGGATTCTTTGTTCACCATGGAGTCATGCGGGAAAAACAAAAGTTTTATTCACAAATTCAACCAACACAGGCAAGTCATTGATATACAAATGATCATTTGGGGGGTGAAGTATTCTTCTAGATTAGAAACTAGACTTGGTCATAATCATCACATGAGAAAATGTGTATTTCTCGGGTCTATTTGGAGTGGTTCTGACTGTCCTGCAGGATATGTTTTATCTAGTCCATGCTGGATTTGGGTCCAATATTATGGACCTGTGGAGACTGTACTTTCCAAGCCTAGCCTAGACAGCAAGAAAAATAACAATTTTTGTCTAATCTGACAAAACTTTGAATCTGCTAAAAGTTTTTTTTTTTAAATGCTTAGACTGCAGTTTACTCACTAATTAACTTAAGCAACTAATCTGAAATCTCACAATAACAGGTGGTCGTTTATCACACGAGATTACAAAAACAGAGGCATTAGCTAGGAGACTAATGTTAGCTGCAGTTCAAAGCCTGTTGGTCACACTTGACGTTTTATGCAAATGGAGTTTTGACGGGCTGTGTGCAAAGAAGTTCTGAATCTACAATGCAGATAACCACACAAACTAATATACAGACAAACAAGGAGGCCATTAAACCACATATGTAAAAGTACAAATTTGGATACTTATCCCCTTCCCACAAACACCAAACTTGTAATTTACAGAGCAAATCTGTATGCTACAATCAAAGGAAAACATGTAAACCAGTTTCAGTTGGACTTCAATCTACATAATTTCATTGTTTGTTTTTATATATACATACATTTTGTGAAGGATGGCAGTGTAGTTTGCTTGGTCTGACCATCAAACACTGCCAACCAACACATTACCATCTTAACTGACTATGATTTTGGTGATTCTCACCTTTTTGTCTAGAGCTGCTGTCAGATCAAAAAGATTGATAAGTTATTGGCCAGATTTAAACATTGTTCTGTGTATATTCAATCTCCCCAGAGGAGTCTTTCCCTCCAGCAGAGGACACACTTTATTCTTTTAGTGACATTATAGCCTCTCAGGATTTTAGTTTTGTTTTCAATCATTCATCTCCTCTCTACTCTTCTCACTACCATTTGTGTTAAAGAATTATTTTGTCCTCCACATTCTTCATTTATTTTCTTGACACCCCCCCTGCATTTGGACAAAAGGCAAGTCGGGAAGAATTGATTCAAATCTAGTATAATTTCCACAGAGAATAAGTCAGATGTGGCAAGTGGTGTACATGAGTGATGGTGTGTGTGATGGAGGCTCAGACTGTTTGTTTGGTGGAGAGTGAGTGTGAACGGAAGAGACCTAACCCCCCACCCCCACCCTGCTGCCATCCATGCCGCCTCCATTGACTTGTCGTTGATTGTGGTAAATGCTAGTGCCTTTGCTGTATTGTGAAACTGGATATTGATTGTACTGTTGTACCGACAGGGCCTGGGGATAGTCAGGCACTCTATTTATTATTGTTGATTCAAATCAATCATATTTTTCTATGTAAGTGCTTTAAATAAATTTGCCCTTTTTTAACACTTTGTCTGGCTTACTTTGTTTTCCCACATTGGCAAGGCATCCTCAGTAAACACCAGTTAAACTTTAATTACTGTTAGTAATATTAATGCTATTTTGGGATTACTGAAACCTTGAGGATTTTTTAAATTCTCACCCCCACAGAGCAAATAATATCTCAGGATATCCAAGGATTTATAATATTTACCAAGGTCAGTGATTTTAAGCCTGTGTGAACCTTCCATGTGTGTAATTGGTCCAATAACAAATTTCAATACAAACTAGATTATTTTGGATGAATACAGAAGTCTCCTGATAGTTCTTGCCCTGTTTAAATGCAAATTACAGGAAATTAATCGGAAACATAAATTTCCCTGCAGTCTGTTTAAAAAATAAATTACTTTTGTCCAGAAATTATGTTTGTCAACACCTATTTCTGAACTAAGCAACAGTTTGCTGCTTTCTCCACTTTTTCTCCACTGTTATTTTAGTATGGAAAACATATGTCCCAACTTACATACATTCAAAATGGCATTTAGAATATATACTAAATCTATATATCAAGACAGAAAACATGCAACTACAAAAACAGAATGAGTATTTCCTCTTTTTTTCTGCTATTGTACATGGTAAATGGACTTGCATTTGTATAGTGCCTTTCTAGTCATCCGACCACTCAAAGGGCTGTTTTACACTATGACTCACATTCACCCATTCACACACTGGTGGCCAAGGCTACCATACAAGGTGCCACCTGCTACTCAGTTTCTTTTTTTAAACACGCTCACACCGATGGAAGCATCATTGGGAGCAATTTGGGGTTCAGTGTCTTGCGCAAGGTTACTTCGACATGCAGACAGGAGGAGCCTGGGATCGAACCATTGATCTTCTGATTGGTGGACAACCCACTCTACTTCTAAGCCACAGCCACCATGTCAGCGCTGCTCAATCTCTGAGGCAAATATTGTACTTTTTACCTCATTTATTTGATCACTGTAGTTACTTTGCAGATTGAATTCATAATAATACATTATGTTGTATCATCATAGATTATTAGACTACCCAGCAGTGTATGCATATTCTACAGCTGCAACATTAAAGTGATGAACATGTGACTGCACAAAAGTTTTTAATCCCACATGTAGTATTCTGAAATGGGCCATTCTGCATACTGAGTATTAATACTTTTGTCACTTAAAGTGCATTTATATGCTGATGTGCTTGTACTTTTACTTTTACTTAAGTAACATTGAATGCTGTACTTTTACTTGTAACAGAGTATTTCTGTACTGTAGTATTAATACTTTTACTCACTTGGATTATCTCAACTGTCTGTCAAAATTAGTCAAAAATGCTCTTCAGCGACCATGATGTTAACCAGTGCACTGGTTAAGCATTTAAATCACCAGTGTAACTAATAAATAAAGCAGATTTCATTTCCATCGCTGGATGAACCAGTAAAATGTGGAGAATGACCTTCAAATGATAAAGATCAGTTTGATCAACTGCAGAAAATACTACAGTACCAACATGGTGGTGTTTGATGAGAAACAAAATGAGCTTTAAAGGTCAATATTTTAATGTTTCCTATAGGAAATAGGATGTGATGCAGGATATAAAATATCGAAAATATTTCTGATAAAATCCATTCATCAGCTTCCTTTTTGCTCCGTCTTTCACGTTGACTGGCACAGTCCAGTAATCTGTCAACCAATCACTGTAGACTTAACAAGGAAGTTCACAGCTTGTTTCACAAAGTGCCCTTAAAAATATAAATGAATCCAGCTATTAAGTTTAGACCAGTCTTTCCAAAAGTTAACGCTTCTGGTGACACAATAAAAATGACGACCTGTTTTTATTGGGTTGCCAATTGGCAGAGTCTCACAACTTGACTGGACAGGACTTTTACAGTGACATGTGACTCTGTGATGTCACAGGCATCTGTAGAAGGTCTGCTCCCTTCAGACAGTCCTGCTCTCTTACTCAGGAACTGCAGAGCAGCCGACACCTCTTTCCGACTGGGCCTGGAACAGTCCAGATGCTCAGACCCTTGCTCCTTGCCCTGAACCATCAAAGGTGGGGCAGTTGCTCACAGACTCTGTTTTTCCTGGACCATGACTTGCCAACGCTCAAGGCCGAGGCAAACCTGTACCAGAGAAGTTAGACTTGCAAGCACAAGGTTTGCAACTAGCTTTCTGGCAACAAAGAGAACCAAGTGAGTTAGCACCCAGCGTCTAACTCTGCAAGGACCCCGAGCGACTGGCTTCCTCAGATCAGAACTGTTGGAACAAGGACACAGCAAAGACTGCAGCTGGAACCACAGCTCTTCCCAGCCTTCCTCTGCCAGCTAACAAAGCAGCACACCACTAAAGCGATTCTTCTTCCCATCCACTCAAGGATCGGTAACGTAACAACTGGGCATAGCTTTATCACAGCTTTACAGGCTAAGCAAGACTGTTTAACTTGTTGTTTATCGAGTATTTGTCATCATTGTTTGCAGTTTGGTCATTGATTGGTTGGCTTTGCCAAAGCTAAGTGTTTAGTTTGCTAATACTGTTCACAAACAGATTCTTGCACACAACTAAACAATCTCTGCACTAATCCAGACTGTTTGCAACATACGTCACATTGACAAAGACTCATTAACAAATAGGCTTTCAATAGAGCTACACCCAAACAGGCATCTCAAAGTTCCGCTTTTTTCCTTTGTCTTTGTCCTGACGACACGATCAGACAAACACCTCCCCCAATCTGAAGCCAGGTTTGATTCAGCCATCTTGTAGTTCTCTGTTGTCAGCCATTTTGTTTTGTAGGCCAAACGGCTCATTGATCACCACACCCGCCTTTGTCTTTCTCTCTCTCTCTCTCTCTCTCTCTCTCTCTCGCACACACACACACACACACAGCCATATACACACATATACACACCAAGCTTGTATATAGTTAGTTAGAATTTGTGTGTTTTGGTTTGCTTTGCTAGTTGTGAATAAATATAATTATTTGGAATCATACCTGCTGTCTGTTTAATGTTGCACAAGAGTGAATGAATAGTCAACCTCTGCTGCGTCAAGAACTCCGAAATCCTTCAGGCTTTACTGTTAATTGTGGTTATTGTCATTAATTTAATTATTAATCAAAACTCCAAATTAATAGTTTAGCGTATTTTTTAAGACTGATATCTTTAACTGGCTATCATTTTTCCCTTTACGGTAATGGTGCCCCATGAGGTGATTTAATGTTAATTAAGTCACATTATTTAAAATAATTATTAATTATTATTATTAATAATTATTAATTATTTCTGATAGCCAATTGACCCCAACATAATTGGTGCCTCTGTGTGAAGCCCTAATTTATGTTCACAACATAATTGGTGCCTCCGTGTGATGCCCTAAAATTTATGTTCACAACATATTTGGTGCCTCCGTGTGAAGCCCGCATTTAAATCCCTACATATTTGGTGCCGCCATGTGAGACCTAAAAAGATGTTCCCAACATATTTGGTGCCGCCATGTGATACCTAAAAAGATGTTATCAACATATTTGGTGCCACCATATGAGACCTAAGAATATGTTCCCAACATATTTGGTGCCCCTTGGTGAGGCCTAATATGTTGATCCCTACCAGGACAAGTAAAATATTTGGTTGTGTGAAGAAGGGACTTTCAAGAGACTGTTTTCTGACTGTGGAAAAGTAAGTCAGTCATGTGTTTGTTTGTGTACCATTGGAATTAGGGTAGGATAACTTATTCGTGTTACTTGTGATTGCTGACATTAACTTGCTAGCTGCAATTCACATTCCAACATTCCGTTTCCGACTCCCAGTCTTGTCGGTAATGTGGATTAAGCAGTAAAATTTATTTATTCAAATTTGTTGTGATAGTGGAAGAGTCATTAATTTCTGTGTTACGTTTATGGCAATTCATGATGTGTTTGGTAAGTTGGAGTCACGGGATACTCAAAGTCCAAATATGCCAATTCCTTAGATCTTCTCCATCTACATTCCAACCCTCACCTATGGTCATGAGCTTTAGGTAGTGACCGAAACAACGAGATCACAGATACAAGCAGCTGAAATGAGCTTCCTCTATGACAGTGTTTCTCAAAGTGTGTGGCGCGCCTCCCTGGGGGGGCTCGGAGGCATCGCAGGGGTGGCGCGAGTCACCCGGGGGGAAAGGAGGGGGGAACTAATGTTTGGACGTCGGAATTTTTTTCGCAGCGGAACCATAAACAAACCGTGCTTTCACCCGCCTTTTATAGCAACTGTGTTCAAGTCTGTTGGTTTTCAAAATGGAGAGATATTTGACAGGGACGAAAAGAAAAATTAGTGATGTTTCTGAGACCTCCTCAGTTGACGGTAGGCCTAATCAAAAAGCCAAGTCAAGAAAATATGATGAAGCCTATCTTGCTCTTGGGTTCACGGTGAATGTGGTCTGAGATGAAGAGAGACTCCTGTGTCTTTTGTGTCTTAAAACTCTGGCAGCTGACAGTATGAGACCCAACAAGTTAAAAAGACACTTGGAGACAATACACCCCAGTAACGTCAATAAACCACTTGACTTCTTTAAGAGAAAGCTCAGTGAATATCGTCAGCAGGAACATCGGTTTGTAAAAGCTGCATCTGTGAACAACAACGCACTATTAGCATCATACAAAGTGGCGTATAGGATTGCACAGTGCAAGAAACCCCACACTACAGCAGAGGAGCTGATACTGCCTGCAGCTTTAGATATGGTGTCAACTATGCTTGATGAGAAAAGTGCTGAAAAATTGAAGGCTGTCCCTCTGTCCAATGACACAGTTGCAAGACGTATAAGTGACATTTCAGATGATCTGGAAGAACAACTCACTGAAAAACTGAAAGACAAACGCTTTGCCTTACAAGTGGATGAGGCGACTGACAGCAATAAAGACTGCTTGTTAATTGCTTATGTGCGCTTTGTCACGTCTGAGTCACTGTATGAGGATTTGCTGTTTTGCAAATACATAAGAAGCAGAGCGACAGCTGATGAGCTCTTTAA